GGGCCGGCCCCGTCCCTGCCCCGGCCTCTCTGCAGGGCCCTCGAGCGGCGGCCAGACCAGCCCAAGCTCCCCGGCGGGCGGGACCCGCAGAGCCCAGCAGCAGCCGCCTGGCTGTAGGGTGGGGTTGGCGCAGGCGTGTTTGAGGTGGGTGCGCTGAGTCCCCACGTCAGCCGTGAGGGCACCTCCCCCTTGCGCTGTGTGAGCCAGAGCCAGAGCCAGAGACAGAGACAGAGAGACAGAGACAGAGCCAGAGTCAGAGAGAGACAGAGACAGAGTCAGAGAGAGACAGAGACAGAGACAGAGAGACAGAGACAGAGACAGCCAGAGACAGAGACAGACAGCCAGAGACAGAGAGACAGACAGAGACAGAGAGACAGAGACAGAGAGAGACAGACAGAGACAGTCAGAGACAGAGACAGACACAGACAGAGTCAGAGACAGAGACAGAGAGAGACAGAGACAGAGAGAGAGATAGAGCCAGAGAGACAGTCAGAGAGACAGAGACAGAGCCAGAGACAGAGAGCCAGAGACAGAGCCAGAGACAGAGAGAGACAGAGAGCCAGAGACAGAGAGAGCCAGAGCCAGAGAGAGCCAGAGAGAGATTGTGCCCCAGCCCGGCCCCTCCCCCCCCACCCCACCCAGGCCTGTGTCCCTGAGCGTCTGGCCAGGCCCGGCACCGCGCTGGAGTCCGGCTGCTGGCTCTGGGGAGCCTGAGGCTCAGTCTGGGGGTGGGGGGCTGGCACCTTCCGTGCAGGGCCTCCCTCCCTCCCTGCAGGCTGGGGGCTGAGCCCCTCACTCGCGCTGGGCAGTAACGCCGTCTCAGAAGCCATTGACCTGGGCCCGTCCAGGCCCTCACTGGCCCGTCCAGGCCGGCCCGCCGCAGGTCGCTCCAGCCACTGCCCCCGCCTCGTGACACCCCGCGTCCTGGGGGAGCAGAGCCCCCCGGGCTGGGGGCCGGCTGGGGTGCCGGGGCTGCCTTGGCGAGTGCCTGCCTGTCTCCAAGGGCAGGCTGGGGTCAGCTGGGTGCTGGGCGCCGGTGGCGGCGTTGGGGTTTGCCCCCGCAGGCGCCCCGGCCCCAGCCTGGCCCAGCGGGGTCCCCTTCGTCTGAGACTTGTGTCTGGGGCCTCTCGTCCTGGACACTGCAGCGAACACTGCCAGTGTGTGATTCCCCACAGCGCCGACCCCTCCTGCTAACGGCTGGCTTTGTTCTGCTGCTCCGGGCTCCTGGGTGTGGGCGGCGCTGGCCGGCGCCTCCCTGCTCCGTGGCGGCCACCTCTGTGTCCTTGGGCTTTGCTTCACTTTTGATTTCTCCTGGGGTCGCTGGTTGTTGGGAGCGTGTTTGTGTCAGCACAGCTGTTCGCTGTCCTCAGTCCTCGCTTCATCCCACCCGGCTGTACGGTTTCCGTCTCATGTGCTCGCACGTGCGGGCCCGGACCAAGAAGGCGCGTGTGGCCCTGTCCATCCGGCCGGCCCCTCCAGAGCCACAGTCATTTGCACAGAAAACAAAGCTCAAATGTGGGGAGCAGAGCCGCCCAGGGGCCCTGCAGGGCGCGCCTGCCAGCGGCTAGCGGCTGGGCGAGAGGAAGCGCCCCTCACCCCCACCGCACCCCACCGCACCCTCACCCCCTTCTACAGAGGCTGCTTGGAGGCCGCACATCCGTCCTCGCGGTTTGCATCTGAGAAATGGAAATTCAGAGAACTGGCCTGGGGCGACAACCAGGAGCCCTTTCTCAATAAAGAGCACCTGGTGTTGGGGTGTCGGGGTGCACTGGAGCGTGCTCGCAGTCCCAGGAAGCCTTGGGCGTGCAGGAAGCGGCTGCAGTAAGAAGCCCCCCGTCCCTCCAGAGGGCTCCTCTGCTCCGGCCCGGCCCCGGCCCCAGGGGCCCGGGCCCCCAGTCGCCCCTGGCCCCAGTCGCCCCTGGCCCCAGTCGCCCCTGGGCCCAGTCTGGAGCCCCAGCCC